GCCCGGTAAAATTAACATAGGGTTCATCATGGGAGCATCTAGCAACAATCAAACTCTATATAGCATTCGCAGTTGATCAAAAGGTGCTTGCTCCACATTTAGCAAAAATCATGATACCGCCGTTGATAATTTTTGGGAACTGACTGTACAAACATGCATTTTAATACATAGTACCATGTTTATTATGCCAAAATGTCCATAATATCACTTGATTATTGGCTTCAATCCTATGTATATGCTCACGGAATAAAATGCAAGGGCGGTAACGCTAGTTATGGAGTGAATTTCGTAAAACTAAATATACTTTATTAAAACCACACCAAAAAACTACAGAACTATGGTCCCTTTAAATCGTAGAAATGAAAAAAAAAGAAGAAATAGAAAAAACACCGGATTCTAACAGGTACGTAGGGGTGAAAACGGAGCGGATATTATCCGATCCGATCCGATCCGTTCCGAATCCGTCCGAAGTGAGGATATGGTAAGGGTCTTTAGATATCCGTCCGGATGCGGATATGGTATCGATAATATTCGGCGGATACGGATTATCCGCTATTTTAAGCGGATTATCCGATAAACGTTTTGGCGGATTATCCGAATTTCACAGCCCATATAACCACTCAATTTGGCCCATTTGACACGAGCATTTTCATCGTGTAAAGATTCAGTCCATCCATGTCCACCTTATTCATCAATCTATCCAGGAGTTCAGTTCATGACTCAAACGACGTCACGTCAACCAATTTTTTCATCGAGACTTCTCTTCTTCCAGTCCTCCCACGCCGCCACCTGACGCCCTGACTTACGTGTGGAACTTCTATGTCTTACGTGATACTGTTTTTTCTAACATTTGTGGAACTTTTATGTCTTGCGTGTTATGTGAATGCGATATATCGTGATGTCAATACTGTATGTGTCGATTACATGCTTCTGGACATAAGACAAGTCAATGTTAACTTGACATTATATTATGATGTGATCGGTGCTTTCATGAGTCATGTGAATTGTGATATTGGTACCTCATTGTTGCTCATTGCATAGATGATAAGATGTTATATCGATTGTATATAAATATCACATCCGATTATTTTCATCCGTTTCCGAGCCGAGTCCGCACCATTTCCGACATCCGAAATAATCCGCTCCGCATCCGCATCCGCACATTATCCGCACCGCCTCCGAATCCGATTAAAAAATATGGTATAGGATATGGTATGACTAATATCCGTCCGAATCCGATCCGTTTTCACCCCTACAGGTACGTAAGTGTAAAACAAATTATTGCAAAAAAAAAGAAATAATCGTTTGATTGGACCGTAGGAAAAACATATAAATCAAATGAGAGAGACACTCAAAGGAATTTTTCCAAGAGGTTGGACCTCTTGCTAAATTTCCTCCAAAACCAAGATGCAACGAGCCATTTCATAGAATTTTATAGTATTTCGAAAACTCTAATCCTTTGAATCAAAGGGCTACATAGGAAAAAAATCCTATAGGATTTCAACCATATGAAATTCTTACGTAAATTCTTTGATTCGAATCATTGTATCATATAAGGATCTAGTATCAAATCTATTACGATACAATATCATAAAACTAGTACATATTTAAACAACAATACCATAAAACTACTACATCTTTTCTATTGACTTCATCACAAAGCTACAGACGAGTACTTTCAAAGTTCCATCAGAATTAGGATGAAACCTCTATAATTAATATGTATGATGAATTATAGCTCTAAACCTATGGCCCATTTTTTCTGATTAAGATGCAAATCTTACCTCGGTTTCTGTTAGCAGACTTCTCAAACAACTTAACAATGCATTTTCATGTGAAAATTTTTATATAAAAGTTGCTTTAGAATATCAGATAAATCTATTTTTCAAGTTTAGAATAATTAAAACTTAATTAATCAAGCGTTAATTTCTTTCTTATTTTTCGTGTCCTATGTACTTAATCTTCATCTTCATTGAATTTAAACGGGCATAAGTCGATAATTTTAGCTTGGATAGAGTATTCGTAGTTTTGTAAAATTTACTTTAGATTTCCAGTAACTTCTATGTCTCATCTACTCGTTTTTACTACAACACTGCAGATTTATTTCCTTGCAGAGTTTTAGACAGTTGGATATATCAGACCGAACAGTCAAAACTAACAGTTTCACTTTACTGAGAGAAATTAACTACTATGTGCAAACATAAATGCCTTGTGGGATATTCACACACTTAGTTGTTGAGCAGTGTACGTGTAATTATATACTGGAGGCCCCATGAGTTAAATGATCAAGTTGCTGTTTTGGTAGGAACATATCTAAGGCGTAACGCAGTTAAAAGTCAGTACCACCTCCCTACTGGGCACATGCGTATGCATGCATGGGAATCCGTTGTGAATGAGAGGAATGATGTGCAACAATTCCCAACAGAAAGTGAGGAGCTGGAATGAGCAAATTGCACAAGCAGAAGTCTTTTAATAAACTTGCTCCATTGGACTACTAACAAAACTGACAAGGATTTATTTTTCCCCTCTCTCTCTTCTCTCTTTCATATGTATGGTCCCAACCTGTTGCAAAGCAGCAGGTTTCTCCGGAGGACAAGGATGGTGGCATTTTCCCTGGGAATGGCAGGAAGGTCCCTTTCTGATTAGCACAAGTAGCTATTGAGATCAAGTGCTGGTGAGATCTAGACCTGTAACCAACCACTAGGATTTGTATGTTTTTGGTTCGGGTCAAGAGAGCCCTAATCAATCGATTAGCGACAATTCTTTCTGTCCGAATCATTTAGTACGACTAGCTTGTAGCCATTAGTACAACGTACCTAGCACAACTTCGATCTCAGTCTCCGCAGAATATAATGAATATATATCTGGATGGTGCCGCTCCGCTGCTAAGCTCTGGATCTGAATTTCTACCTGCACAAATATTGATCCAGATTCATCACCACCATACTGTGAGCAGCTTTAAAATTTTCACACAAATAAGAAGGCATATATATATGTACGACGTACCTACACATAGGTGGTGTATATGTACCTCCTTGCATGCCGTAACAAGCGTAGCCCCCATAATATCTTTGAACGACCATGATGAGTAACTTCAATTCACTGCAAGCTTACGCTTCATTTTTCAGGCTTCAACTCCAGATCAAACTAGAATTGTGATGATGCCACATTATGATTTGTGTGACGACAGTGTAGTCACTGCTGAAAAAACTGACCAATCAATGCAATCATGCAATCTCGATCTGGGGCTTCGTCCCCAGCTGCTGCTGCCGACTATTCCCTATCCTTGGAAAGCTACAAACGATCTCCTCAAAGGCATGGCATGGAAAAGATGAGAAAAGTACTTACCTAATTGATGTTTCAACAAAGGTTATTATATACATCACAAAAATTAAACAAAGGATGTTAAGTAAGTAGCACACCTTTCGATATATATAGCAGCAGTAACGGACATTGATGCATGCAGAATTGCATAGCAGAACTCCAATTAATCGCCATGAAGGCAGTAAGGTGACCAGCCGGCCGGCGAGAGAAACAGCGATCTGCCTTTCTCCGCCATGAAAATCCTTTATCATCATATCTGGACATATAAATTGTAGTTCTCATATTTATGTTTCATGCCATTAGTTTAGCCATATATATAGTTTGGGAATATATGTATATATATATTCTTGGTTGCAAGATCTAGGCAAATTGCGTGTTCAAGCAAAGCAAGAGAAAATAACCGTACCCACTGGTGGAAACATGAAACACATGGCACTCGATTATATCCCTCTCGATTCTCGTCGTTTCCGTCAGTCATGATGGATGCTTATGCAGGCGTAGTTTAGCAAAGTGGAACATTCTTTTCTTCCTCCTGTAAGGCCAGGCACCTGCAAAGCATTTGCATGCATGTGTAGTCCGCTACTTCAGCTGACGAGCCTCGCTTTAACCATAGGGACAAAAAACAAAGTGAGCACTGATGAGTAGCTTGATCATAGCAAAAGAACAAAGCAGATCCTAGAATGATGAACCTAGTTATTACTACTATCTTGTTGCATCAATTGATGATCGATCAGCTGGCTGGAATCAAGCAAATATATAAGATAGGTGATGATGAGCAAGCTGAAATTAATTAATAAAATGGTTAATTAAGCAGCTTGTTGCAACTTTCAGATGAATAGTAGCAGAGGTGCTGCAGAGAGAACAGATATTTTAGGATGTTCCCATATAAGGTATAGCTTAAGAAAAGGGAAATCAAATAGTAGGATGAGAAGCTAAGACGGCCTGCACTGGCCTGTTTGGAGATCGATCGATGGAAGGCAGTCACGCAGGCAGCCAGTGTAGCCACAAGGCTACAACTAGATCTGTACGCAGGACCACTTCCAAACACAAGCCTGCAGCTCCAGATGTAAAGAAGCCAACAGCAATAAAGAGCCTCCATAAAACAGCCAGTACCACCCCCCACACATAGCTATATAGCGTCGACAGGCCCACGCTCAGAGCTTGTCACGTATTCACTGATGCTCACACATGCATCAAAGCCAGAGAAATGAAGAAAGCAAAGAAGAAAAAAAAGAGAGAGAGAGATGAGCAGAAGAATGTGGAGAGAGAGAGAAGAGGAGAGAAGAGAAGAGATGAGATGACCTTTGCTACCCTCAGAGACAGGTACTTGGTTGTTATGTGAGAGCCCAAAAGCCTCCTAGTGCAGGACTACTTGCCAGAGCTTAATGTGTACTATGGGTTTCCCAGCCCCTCTTCCACTCAAGAATTTACCACCATGGACGATGATGTATATATCCACACATCTCTTTTCTACACCCCCTCCCTGCTGGCCCTACCCTCCCTCTCCTAATAACTAACCCACAATGTAGTACTCCCTCCGTTTCAAAATGTTTGACACCGTTGACTTTTTAGCAAATGTTTGACAGTTCGTCTTATTAAAAAAATTTGTAAAATATGTAAAACTATATGTGTACATGAAAGTTTATTTAACGATGAATCAAATGATATGAAAAGAATAAATAATTACTTATCTTTTTTAAATAAGACGAACGGTCAAACACATACTAAAAAGTCAACGGCGTCAAACATTTCGAAACGGAGGGAGTAGTAGTATGGTGACAATTATCCTGCTCCATCAGTGCCCCATTTGCCTCAGCATGCAAAACCTATCACTCGTATACATTTGGCACTCCTGCCAGTGCTTTCTGCTCTTTCTATTCCCTCCCTCCCTTCTCCCTTCATAGTTCCACCCTCCTTCCATTCCTCTCTGCTGGTCAGGGACGAGAGAAACGTAAACCCAGCCGTGACATTATATTGCCTAGCTAGTTGATTAATTTGTTGCAAGAACTGGCTAGCTAGCTCGAGAAATTCTGTGTACCTGGCCGGGTGCATGGGCAGCGGCGGCGAAGGAGGTGGTGGAGCAGCGAGCGTACGGGATCAGCCGCCGCATGACTTCGCCAACGTCGCGTCCTTCTCCGAGTTGCCGTTCCTGCGGCCGGCTCCGGCGCCCAGGGAGAGCCCCAACAACTCCGCCATCCGCCTCTTCGGCATCGACGTCCCGCACGCGTCGTCGTCGCCTGACGGCAAAGCCTCCAAGGAATCCGTCGTCGTCTCCACCGCCGCCGCCGCGGCGTCCACGCATGGCGCTGCCGCTGCCGCCATTGCCGCGGCCGCCGACAGCAGCCGCAAGTTCGAGTGCCACTACTGCTGCAGGCACTTCCCGACGTCGCAGGCGCTCGGGGGCCACCAGAACGCGCACAAGCGGGAGCGGCAGCACGCGAAGCGGGTGCAGATGCAGACCGCGATGGCCGCTGCCGCCGCGGCGGCCAGCGGCGCGCACCACCACCACCACCACCACCAGCTGCTCGGCTACCCGCAGCATCATCACCGCTTCGGCTTGGCAGGCCCCACGGTGGCGGCATTGTATCAACACCCGTCGTGGCCGACGATGAGCGGCGGCGGCGGCGGTATCTCCTCAATTGGCCCTCAGTTCTATAGCGGGATCGGATCGGTCACCCAGCCGATCAACGGGAGCCCGCTGCCGGCGGGGCTCTGGAGGCCGGGCCCGATGGCGGCGCCGCCGCTGCTGGCCGGAGAGCGGCGGCCGGTCGCGGTGTCGACGTCGTCCGTGTTCCGAGGAGACGAGCCAAGAGCTTCAGCTTCTCTTGTGGCGTCCCAGACAGCTTCTTCCTCTTTGCTGCTGTCTCCGCAAGGTCAGTTCGCTTGTGAGCAGCCGCCGGCGACCACCGCAGCTGAGGGCGTGAGCTTAGATTTGCACCTATAATTGTTCTTTTTTCTTCTGTTGGTTTTAGCGGATTACTACGTACAATAACTGATTTCTCGCTACCTTTTCTTCCTTGCCTGGGAATGAGATTGCCCTTTACTAAATTCAGATGAATCGTGCGCCTTTTTTTTTTCTCCTGACACGTGCAAAAGAATTCCATTTGCCAAACTTTGATCCTTTTGTTAATGTGCATATATACACATGACAAAATAATTTGGGTACATTGTTAGGGTTTGAATTATCATAAATTACGTCCAATACAAAACGCCTATGCATTTGAAAATGTTTACTAAGTAGTTAGTTGAGGAACAGTCAGGTTTCATGCTGTTTCTAGACAATAAATGTGCATATTAATTCCTACGATGAAAGAGAACAGAAATTACAACTGCATGCATTAACCAATTTCAATTTCGGATTGCAAAAGCACCAGGGACAATAAAAGAGTAAGATTTTAACTGATCATATTTTTCACGGAATCGGTCACATATAAGTAAGCTGAAAGTGCACAATACTTTTTCAACAATTGAAAAAAAAAATCATAATGCATATACTTTTCATGCGGCCCAGTAAACTGCTGCAGCTTGCAGGGCCGGCCTGTACGTATGCACACGCTAAAAAACATGAAGGATATAGACACTGTAAAATTCTTTCTGAAGCGGGTGCAGAGTTTTTTGTTTTTTTTAATCCTCTGTACGTGCGTACCTATGGGCAACAGTTCTAGCAACTGCTGCTGCTTGTATGCAATGAGGCTGTAGCTTTATGTGTAGCTTTCGCATGTCGCTAGGGTCAGGTATATGCACAACTGCAGATGCATGATAAAGAAAGCTGCTCGAACGTATAGCTAAAGTACGACTCGAAATCATAAAAAAAGAAAATCAATATCATATATCAGTTGACTTGAGGAAGTTGACGGCGTACACTGTTGACTCTACCTGAAAGCTGAACTATATAGTTTAAATAACCTGTCCTAAAGAAAGATAGCATCGCCTGCTGTTTTAAATATGAGTTCTTTTGCCTGGGCAGTTATATTTATATTGCAAAAGTATAAAGTGTATGCACAGATGCAAAAAAGAAAAGCAAAGGGAAGTACACGTTTGATAAGAGGAGCAGAAGGGGATAAGGAATTCAGAAAGACCAGGCACATGAGAAATGGCAGCTCAATTGATGACAAAAGAAAAAAAAAGAGCTCATCAGAAGCCTGCCATAGTTACTGCTCTGTTAAAAAAAAAAACAAAACAAAACAATCCTAGCTATAACCTGGACATGTATATCAGTATATATCCAGATTCGTAGCTAGGATTAGGTTTTTTATGCGACGAAGGGGTATTGTCCACACTCAGCTCAAAAGTGGTGTTCATGCTAGATTATGAAAGCAATGGTACTCGGAGTGAAAGGCTGCTCTCGCTTGCTATCTCCTGCAACAGTGCAGCCTGATGTTGCCGTTGCCTAGGGTTTCGCTCTCAACGAGGCAAGAGAATGTCAGGCCGGGAGGACATTACCAGCAGTATATAAGCATCGTCTAACTGTTTTACTACTACCAGTAGTAGTTATTACTTCAAGAAATTTTATGGTACTTAAAAAAGAAGTACCTCGAGATATTTTTATATATCTCAAGATACTTAGTACTTAGAGGTAACAATTTTTACACTATAAAATAGGGTATCTGTTGGTACTTCTCAAGAATAATAAAATTACCTTATTAACATAGAGTAGGGTTTTTCTTACCATAAAAGGTGAACCTTAACTGCGTGGTTACTGAGTAAACCTAAGAAAAAACAGATAAATTGTACTAAAATTTTAATTTTTTAAAAAATATTTGGTCGATAGACTGGGCGGTTTCTGTTACCCACCTCCCGGCAGTAAAGCTCGGTTACCACACCGGAAAGGCGAAGTGTTACAAAAGAAACTAAATTCATGTGTATAGCATATAGGAATAAATAGCCAGGTTCTATATAGGAGTAAATGAGAGTACGTAGCTAGAGACTTAATTACTCCCTCTGACCCAAAAAAAAAGCCAAATGAACCTGGACAACTCTTTGTCCAGCTTCATTGTACTAGGAGGGGATCCCTCCTAAGTTAGTTTTATTTGAAACGGAGGGAGTAGACTGCTTCCACCTCCTCTGTTTTTCACGCACACGCTTTTTGAACGGTAAACGGTGTGATTTTGCAAAAAAAAAAAAACCAAAAGTTGCTTTTAAAAAATATTTTTTAAAAAAACTAATACTTAATTAACCATATGCTAATGAGTCGTTCCGTTTTACGTGCGCGAGGGATTAGCTCTCATCTCAAGCTGCCGAACAGGCGAACACAGCCTTTGGACTGAACACAGAAATTTACTTACCTTGAGGCGTACGTGTTAGTTAGAATGTTACTGCAGCCAGTGCGAACCATCGTACCGCCAATGAGCCATTTCCACCATCACTGTGTGACCTTCATTGCAAGAAACATTACCCGTTTGCACATTAGTGCATGCATGGATGATGAAAGAAATAACATGAAGTAAATGGGAGTTTACCAGCCATGCATGCATCAGGAATCTGGCACGCAGGCAACGATCGCCCTCTTAAGCAAGTGGTCGCAGAGAAGGATATCGTATGAACGTCCTGAAGCTTTTAAGGTGTCAAATACTCCCCAGTGCTATCATTTTTGATGTTGCTGCTGCTGCACTGTCGTTCCTGTCGCTATTATTGGTGATAGATCCAATGCGACTTCTCTGGATGTGTCGTTTTATCCCTTCTGCATGCAAATAAGAATTGTCCACAAAATTCAAAGTCGCTAGGTACAACTGCACTTTAATTTCACATGCAAGAAATCACTGTGTATTCTTTGGACACGACACTCCGTAACTAGATAATCTATATACATTAAACACCGTAAGTGAATATTCTCACAGCCAAGGGTCTACTCAAGTTGGTTGTCTGTTCAAGCGACACCATGAGATGAAAATCCAAAGCAGGTACTCTGTGAAGGACAACAAAAAGAGGGAAAGAAAGAAATACCTAGAGAAAACATCTCCAGCTAGATAGACCTCCCGTCACCATTCACCACCAATTTCCCAGTGCAAGATCGAAGGGGTAGAGGCCTAGCTAGCCCAAGGTGTCGCTTGTAGATATGTGGCAACCGCACCACCCCATGTTATACCAAGCTAGACTTTTGAGTGTTCATCATTTTCCTCCATAGAACTGATACACAATTACACATATAGGACCCTCCTATAGGTCCTTTCCTAGACAACATGCCTTTATTTTCCTCCAGGGTTACACACCTACACAGGTTTGCATTCTGTACTGCATATATAGCTCAATCAATCAGTACAGGATCCAGCTATGTACAAGTAGCCTAGATAGGTCAACACCGCCTACACATCACGTCCATTCTAGGTAGTAGGGGGATCGAGATCCAATGATCCTTCTCTGATATAGTGCGCATTCCTTATGTTCAGATTGAGGAGGCATTTGGACTGGAAAGCCTAAACTCCGAAAACCTTCAGAGGCAGGAGCATCTTTGTGAGGCCCAAGCAAAGGGTGGAAGAGCAGTACAGATTGTACAACGATTGCATTACTGATGGCAGGCTTTGGAGCAAGGTGCGCCAGTTAAATCCTGGTTCCTCTGTTCTAGACACGCAAGAAAAAGCTGGGCACCTAAACAGGCTTCAGCACAAGAGGAACCCACGGGGTCTCCTGGCCACATAACTATACATGCTCTATCCCCAGCAGCGCAACAAAACAGATCACCCACACAGTTTTCAGGTCAGAGATTGCAGGGGCTAACCTTAGTTTCAGCACCAGCCTATGATGGCCGGCCCCTTTGGGACACACCCATGTGTGGTCATTGGACAGTCTATATGATGCAGTGCAGCCCATCTGCAGCAGCCAGTGTTCTGTTCTGCATGCACACAACGAAAATGGTTAATTAAAGACCAAGCAGCATCAATTAGGGAAAATACATGTCAAATTGAGTATAGCAAACAGTTGCTTCTGCTAATTCAAGTCCCTGTGGAGGTCCCGGGCTTCCCTGGAACAAAGTGTACATTAAGTTTCAGATGCCACGCTCTGAGAATCTTAGCAGTTACTTCTAGGCCGAAGCTATATGATCACTCCATGTCAGTGTCATCAGAATATGGAATTCAGCAGTTTTCAACCCATTAGCCTGAGCATCAGAGCACATAGATTTCTCAATGCTACTGCTTTCCAGGTGGGATGTAAAAGTTAATGAATGATTGATTCCCCATTATTCAGAAAAATGTACTTAAGTGGCAAACTTAGCATGCATTTATACTTTTTACGATGTTATCATCTGATCCTTCTAAACTCTGTGTATTATAATAGACGAAATTTTTGTGAAAATTATGATTGCGACTTCACAGGCATGCAGAAGCAACCACTGTATGTTCATTCGCGAGAGGTCCGTGGAGATACACCAATGGTACAGGAAAAAGTACCATATATCCTCAGAGAAAGACAAAAAAGTCTTGGGCCCACGTTCCTTATTCTCTCAACTGAGAGGAATCCAATGTGAAAGACACTAATTCAATCATCTATTTGCTATTTTACTTTCATTTTCGGACCTTCTAGTTTTGTCGAATTGCCTAAACAAGTGGGGTATGCTTGGACTGAAAACATTTAGGCTTGTCAAAACTAATAAATAAACCATTCCCCCTTCAGTGTTCATAGGTAGTCAAGTCAATTTCACATCTCTAGACTGACAGTTGACGATATTTGTTCACATGTACAACAGCAAAGGAGGAACATACCACTAGCAGTATTTTTTCCTGAACCCACTAGCACTAATTAGTGCTTACAGTCACAAGCAATGAAGATAACAACGATACTTATGATTCAAAAGCAAATATCTCTTTCTGATTATGTATGCTGTTACTTGTAAGAGATGTTGGCACAATCATATATGGTGGTTAGTGGAAAAGGCAAACATCTAGCACATAGAGTCATGTGATAACAAGTGAGCTTGAACAAGCATAATGCAGAAGGTAGATTTTAAATATATACACATTATATTATGTAATGGAATAAATAAGCAATTAAATTAACTCGACAAATTACCTCATAGGTGATATGTAAAATGTAGACGCTGATGAGTTCAACATTTCAGATTGCCTTGTTTTAACTGAGTATCGTCACCATGACACCATTGCATATAATTATTGTATTGCAGTGCTATATAAATATTCTCACTACGAGTCTATGACCATGCCAGAGATAAAGGGAATTTCACTGACTGAATGAGTTGACGTAGTACTGCTTCCAGGACAATGGAGAAACACACAAAACCCTGTGATGATGTTCCCCAGTTCCCTTTGTTTGAAGCCATCAATATTCATGATAAACATGAGCTCACGCTTGGTTGCAGCCCAAATGATTAGGTACAAGATTGCATAGAGATAATGTTTGTAGCTTTAAGCTATTAGCCTTTTTTGTGTCCATTTCCAAGAGAGAGAGTCTGTGCATGCTCTGAAAATAGTCTTGTGCTGTTGCACATTTCATCACGAGGAGCTCACAGCACAATCCAAGGCCTGGATTGATCAGTTAAAGTATACTATAGAAAGGCTCAGTACCCAAATCCCCTAGGCGGTTTTTTTGGATTCAATGTTGGCATTCAATGGATGATAGATTTATGTTGGCATGTATGTGTTTTTTGTAGGATCTTCTATAAAACTTCTCAGATTTGCATAGGTTTTCAGTTGACCTAATGCGAATTATAAAGCGCATAACTTGTTTTTCCTTCTGATATAGTATAGTATGTTCACTTTAGCATTTTATTAGTTATTTACAGAGTATGTACTTAAATCCGTTGCAAGACACAGGCAACATGATATAAAGTTAATAAGCAGACTATCCATCTGGGACTAAAAGTTATCTACGATAAGCTTAAGTTTATTCCAGACCAAACAATCCTTAGCCCAACAGCATAGCTCCAAATTTTCTAGTCAAAAATAATATTTTATCAAATATCAGAGGCCTAGGAAAAAACGATTTACCTCTAATAAAAGAGCCAAAATTTATGGACTAATTAAGTTTTCTGACCTAAACAAAAAGTAACCATGCCACAAAAAGGAATCCAAGAATAATCTTACAACACTGTCACTCACAAATCGGAAGAACCTTTTACTAAGCCTACTTACCAATGGTTGGATCATCCTTACAGTCCTACTCCTAATGCTCTACTGGTTGGTCCATTTTGAAATTGCTAGTACCATATTTCTCAACTAAGGGTGAATGCAAGCATTTAAGATGCTTATTGTTATTGCAATCTCTATTTATATAACCAGTTTTTAACTTTGAAGTAGCTTGAAATTAACATAGTAGTATAATGAATCCTTTAGTGCAGACATGACCAGGAGGTACTGATATCACTACTCTCTGTTATCTCCAAGATCCTTCTTTTCCAAGTCTACCATCCAAATTAACTATGTGAAAGCATATAGAGTCATATGAATAAATCCTGAATGCTACAGCATATTCAATGAACCCTACCTGGTTTGCAACAAATGCTCTAATGGAGCTGCCTATGTATGGAAGATTTCATCTTATGAAACAAAACTTATAGTGGAAAATAACACCAGAATCAGAATGTTTTGTAGCTGACTAGATAATTCAATCTACAAGGGGCGCCACCTAGCAGTTCTCATCGGTATCTTGGAATACCAAATTAAGCATATGCATTGAGATGCCTTTTGCAAATGTACTAAGGCTTTTAGTCATATACTCCCAGTCATGGTCCTCTGTAAAATGGCAAAGCAGAAAATGCACAGTTTGTAGTTGCGAACATGGTTGATTAATGCTATAATGTAGTAACCCCCATAAGGAGTGTGATTGTAAGCAAAGAGCCCTGTTATGTTGACTGGTGCACAGTGTCATCACATGGATTTAAGAAATTATTTTGATAATATGGAGTTCACACTTTCATGGTAAACATACTTTCCAAATCCTACAATAATTGATTGAATCAAACACAGAAAGCAGAAAAGTTAAGAGTAAAACAACTTACTGGTGTAGAAAATGTGGGCCGCTGATATGTGATAGCCTTGAATTCGACCGCAATAGGCCATTGTAACCTGCAAAACAGCAGCCATTGCAGATAAGATAGTCCCAAGTACACTAAGTTCGCAATACAGAGATTATTACCAGGAGAAACACTTGTCGCACCTATTTCGTCGAACACCTAGCGCGCCTCCCTGCGAGCAGAAGATTGGGCACCCGTCGGAGCCCAGTCACACCGCCGTTTCCGATCATCCAAACCACAGGAACGCCCTACACCAGCAGCGCACGATGGTGACAGCACGCCCCGTGCCTCGGCAGCGAGGGGAGATGCGAAAGGTGGTTCGCTGGCCAGCCTCGCCGCCATGCGCGGTGGGAACGGGAGGAAGACGTGGAGCGCGTCGAGCGGGTAAGGTTGCGATGTCGGAGAGACCCGTGAGAAGTAGGCCTGCCGCGTTGCCGCCCGGCGCTGAACGGCGGAGGCAGCGGCGACGGCGCCGGCGGCATCGTCGCGGATCGCGAGTTCTGTGCGGCCGGCGGCGCGGCGTGCGGTTGTTTTTTGGGAGTTTGGAGTCTCGCGGGGAGCGGGAAGGGCGCCGCGGCGCGGTCTCCTATTGTGCCTCTCCTTCATCTGATCTGTCACTGACATCGCGGGCCCACAAACTGACACCCTCCTCGTCGCCACACTCCTCGCACTAGCAGTCGCGCTCTCTCCCCTTCTTCCCCCACCCAATCCACACAGAGAGAGCATCGCGCGGCATGGCTTCCCCTTCCTCCCTCCTCTCATGGCCTCACCGCGCAATCTCCCTCTCCTTCCAACCCAAGAACCCCTCTCCCTCTCCGGCCACCGCCCGTGTCTCCGTCCAAGACCCGCCGCCGCCTCCCTCCGACGCCAATCCGAGTCCGGGGAGGTCGAGCAATACGAGCAGGTACGTCTGGGTCAACCCCAACAGCCCGCGCGCCGCGGGGCTCGCCCGCGCGCGCGCCGGGTCGGGCCGACGCGCCCGCCTCGCCGCCGCGGCGGCCGCGCTTGCCGCCTGCGAGGCCGGGGAGGCGCCCGTCGCCGCGGCGCTGGAGGCCGCGTTCCCGGAACCCCCGTCCGAGCAGGACGCCGTCATCGTGCTCAACACGACCTCCGCCAGGCCCGCCGCCGTCGTGCTCGCGCTGTGGTGGTTCCTCCGGAACGCCGAGGTTCGCAAGGAGGTCATCCTCTACAACGTCGCGCTCAAGGCCCTGCGCAAGAGGCGGCGCTGGAGCGACGCCGAGGCGCTCTGGGAGGAGATGCTGCGCGAGGGCGTGCAGCCGGACAACGCCACCTTCTCGACCGTCATCAGCTGCGCGCGCGCCTGTGGCATGCCAGGCAAGGCCGTGGAGTGGTTCGAGAAGATGCCGGACTTCGGGTGCTCGCCGGACATGCTCACGTACTCGGCGGTGATCGACGCGTACGGCCGCGCCGGGGACGCCGAGACGGCCCTCCGCCTGTACGACCGCGCCCGCGCCGAGAAATGGCAGCTGGACCCCGTCATATGCGCCACGGTGATCAGGGTGCACTCGAGCAGCGGCAACTTCGACGGCGCACTCAACGTGTTCGAGGAAATGAAGGCGGCCGGCGTCAAGCCAAACCTGGTCGTGTACAACACGGTGCTGGACGCCATGGGCCGCGCGATGCGGCCGTGGGTGGTGAAGACCATCCACAGGGAGCTAGTCAGCCAGGAGGCGGTGCCCAACAAGGCGACGTACTGCTGCCTCCTCCATGCGTACACCAGGGCGCGCTACGGCGAGGACGCCATGGCCGTGTACCGGGTGATGAAGGACGAGGTGATGGACATCGACGTCGTGCTGTACAACATGCTCCTTTCGATGTGCGCCGACATCGGCTACGTCGAGGAGGCGGAGGAGATCTTCAGGGACATGAAGGCCTCCATGGATTCCCGGTCCAAGCCTGACAGCTGGAGCTACTCATCCATGGTGACCCTCTACTCCTGCACCGGCAATGTCGCGGGTGCGGAGGGCATCCTGAACGAGATGGTGGAGGCTGGCTTCAAGCCCAACATCTTCATCCTCACCTCGCTCATCCGTTGCTACGGCAAAGCGGGGCGCACCGACGACGTGGTCAGGTCATTCGCCATGCTCGAGGACCTCGGCATCACCCCGGACGACCGGTTCTGCGGCTGCCTCCTCACCGTGGCGGCCGGCACGCCGGCGGATGAGCTGGGCAAGGTGATCGGGTGCATCGACCGGAGCAGCGCGCAGCTAGGCGCCGTGGTGCGGCTCCTGGTGGACGCCGCGGCGCCCAGCGAGCCCCTGAGGGAGGCCGCCGGCGAGCTGCTGGGCGGCGCGCGCGGCGTGGTGAGGATGCCGTACTGCAACTGCCTGATGGACCTGGCGGTGAACCTGAGCCAGATGGAGAAGGCCTGCGCGCTGCTGGACGTCGCGCTGCGGCTGGGCATCTACAGCAACGTGCAGACGAGGACGCAGACGCAGTGGTCGCTGCACCTGAGGGGCCTCTCCGTCGGCGCCGCGCTGACGACGCTGCACGTCTGGATGAGCGACCTGTACGCGGCGCTGCAGGCCGGGGACGAGCTGCCGCCGCTGCTCGGGATCCACACGGGGCAGGGGAAGAACACGTACTCCTACAAGGGGCTCGCCACCGTGTTCGAGTCGCATCTCAAGGAGCTCGACGCGCCGTTCCACGAGGCGCCCGACAAGGCCGGCTGGTTCTTGACGACGAGCGTCGCGGCCAGGCACTGGCTGGAGACAAAGAAATCGGCAGAGTTAGTAGCGGTGTAAAACGCAACAATGGAGTAGGAATATATAGGATTTTTTTTTTGTTGGGCTTTTCGTAGTATCTCAATTTATGCAGGTGTTCTCAGGTTTTCTCCCTCCACAGATTTCTTCTAATGGTAGATGCTCAGACTTGCATATACTGTTGCCTCTGCTTCCATTGACAGAAGAACATCAGTCAAATTCCTCATTCAATTGAAAATAAAAAGCGCTGTTAACATTAGGTTTGGCATGCAGTCAATAACACAATCTACAGCTTCCATTCAGATGTATCTGCAAAGAGAGTGGGCACTGATGAAGAGAGAATAACTGAATAAGCTGGGGCAGGACCAATGACCAAATAGACCTGATGTCAACTGACAAAAGCAAGCTAGTGCTAGTACAAAATTAAACACCTGCAGAATATACATGAAACAAATTGGTAACTTGGCCAGTGTACAACACATGGATTTCAAAAGAATAAATGATCTCCCGAACAAATTCCCAGTCTCTTAGCCAAAAAACACTAATATAAGATTCAGTGGGAAAAAAACATCCTTTTACAGTTTACTGAATACATCCTAATGAAATATGCCAAAACTACAAGAAATGCAGGTTTGGCTATACCAGCCCCTATCAATGGCAATGCCAGCTAATTAAAATACATCACAATGTATTTTGAGGATAACTTAAAGCCGTACGACAAAATTTTTGTACCAATCCAGAGATGCAAGCAGTTCTCTTGCTGGATGAGATCTGCTATGTTCCAGCTCGTCAGTATTCACCAGCTATCAGGGCAGACATCACATCATGAAAAACTTGCTGAGACTGTATATTCCCCATGAAATTTTCTCATCAATCAAGAAATTCCAGACCGGTAGCTGTTGGTGTCAGGCCATGGTTAGCCAAATATTGGTCATTGAAGAACTTACTTAGATGCCTCATCCCACTGTCACAGAGAATTGTCACAATTGTATGTCCTGGACCTAAATCTTGAGCAACTCTTACAGCACCAACACAATTCATGGCTGAAGAACTCCCAACGAACAGCCCATCATTTTTCAACAAGAACCTAAGTTAATATTTACAAGTAGATTGAGGTTAGATAATTGAAATACATTTTTAGCTTTTCTTTGAATTATCTTAAGATAAGAGAATAAACAACTATGAGCTTCCTGCTAACTATGACACAGAAGACTGATTCTTTTCATCCTTTTTGCTTCAGTACTTGTTTATTACAAGCGAAATGTGCAGAACTTTGATTAATGCTTATGATGATTTGTACTAAACAATAACAGTTCTTGCATGGAAATTTCAGATTGTAACTCCTAAGAGTCAGCGAAAGCACTCGGTAAGTACATACCTTGACATCTCAACAGCTTCCCTATCTGTTCCCCGGTAAGCTCCATCCAGTTCCGCCATCATAAAATTTTTTGTAACCCTGTTGATTCCAATTCCTTCAGTAATAGTGTCAAAAGGATTCTTCAGCCTTTTGCCCTCAGCTTCCTCTTTTGTGTACATCACCCCTCTAGTAACCTTATTGAACAGACCAGATCCAGGTGGGTCCATTAAGAAGCATTTGATGTTTGTGTTCTTTTCCTATATTTGATTATAGCATAGGCATAAAAAAGGTCTACATGTGAGAAAGAAATATACAGAAGAAATAACATAAGAAGCATGCAAACCTTAAGATACCGTGAGACTCCAGCAATTGTGCCACCAGTGCCAGCTGCAGCAACAAAGGCATGCAGTGTCCCTTTACTTTGTTGCCATATCTCAGGACCAGTCCATTCATAATGGGCTCGGTAGTTTGCCATATTCTCAAATTGGTCAGCAAAGAAACCTCCCTTTGAATCAGAGTCATGATCACACTTCCCGTTATATTGTATTTCAGAATTGGCTGAACAGTTAGTTAGTGCCTTGTTTGACTCCCCTTTGCTTGCTGTTATCTTGCTGTGCATTATTCTAGTATTGACATGCGCTGAACCATTAGTTTCTTTGTACCTTGACTCTCTCTGGGCCGCTGCTGATTTGTTTGCTTCTAAAGCCCTTCTTCTAGCAATATTGACAAAATGGTCCCTATGTGTAATTGAAACAGGGCGCACTCGTTCAACTGTAGCCCCGAGCGCCTCGATTATTTGAGACTGTGAAAAGAGTTTTAGTAAAACTAAACATACAGGAGCATAAGCAATTACAGGCTTTCTGATGTTGAAATACTGTTTGTACTTTGGAACAATCTTAACAGAAGCATCTAGCATAGTTTAGTTCAGCTAGCCATGAAAAAAATGGATAACTCAAGTAGCAATCACAGATACTACACCATGGAGTATGTTATAAGAATTATGAACAGTATGTGACTTACTACCTTCTCAATGGCAGCATCATCAGGAATAACAACATGACATTTGCAGCCATAAGCAGGAGCAACAATGGCCAAGCTAATAGCTGTGCTTCCAGCACTCCCCTCTGTTACTGTACCACCACAGAGAAGATCACCAGATTCCAGAGCCTGGTAATGACAAGAGTTCCAGGATCAAATATAAAGGATATGATATACGGTTGTTAGTATATAACAACATCATAGGAACCGAAATTACCAAACAACATGACACGGAGCAAACTATCTCATGAATCCATGATTCATCTGGTGAAATTTGAAACAAAAGAATTTAGATAAAATCCTATTACCTGTTTGTTTCAATCCAATAATACTAGAAATAAAACCGCATAATGTTTTTCCCATGAGTGCTTTTTTTCAGAACTGCAATTCTAAAATTGTTGGGTCACTGACAACATAGTTTTACAGGTTCCAAAAGATGATGGAAAAATCTTGATACCACCCTGTTATCGACTTCCACCTTACAATTGCTTTTTGAAGGATAGACAACTACAGGCTAGAGTTAATACAAGTAAGCATTTATCACCACATCTTACAATAAGGAGGAAGTCAACTAATTCCTGCTCTCAACCTCACAAAATGACTGAAGTAGAAAGTCCAGAGGTAGAGATTCTCAAAAGATGCATATACAGGTACTTTCTCAAAAAAAAAAAGAAGAAGAAGAAGAAGAAAAGGCAAGTACATGTAGCCAACATTACATGAATCGGTCACGAAACCTCAGAAGGCAGTATAACAAGAAAGTTCTGTTGCAATTCATTCTACGCTTGAACAAGGTTTTGCCGCAATTCATTCTACAGTTGAACGAAGCTGAAACTTTTGAATGCTATGCAAGAGTAGTATCTGCGGAACTAATCTGAACATACCTCATATTGTATCTCACTCAAAAGAAATACTCCATTTTATGCAGCTTTTCATTAAGGAAATCATACTCCAGCAAAGTAGCAATTCTGAAACTTTTCTCCGTGAGCTGTACTTCTCAGCTACCCCATTCAATCTATCTACAAATTTGGATCAATTTGAACCAACATGAACAAATTACCTCTTCGATGATCTTAACTGCCACACGGTCCTTCACGCTGCCTCCGGGATTCAAGAACTCGGCCTTCCCCAGGATCTGCAACCCAACCAAAAGCAACACCACCACTTCATCAGCTCAACCGAACCAAACCAAACCAGCCAGTAAAACCGGAGCCACAAACACGGACGCACCCCCCGAGTCTACCTCGCACCCTGTGGCGTCGGAGAGGCTGTTGATGCGGATGAGGGGCGTGTTTCCGATGGCCTCCACGAGGCCCTTCCGCCGCGTCCGCCGGCCGCTCGAGCGGGAGGACCTCGTCGTGGGCCCGACCCACGGCAGCTTGGCGCCGTCCCTGTGTAGGAGGAGGTAGCACGCGAGCAGGGATACGGCGGCGGCTGCTCCCGCCGCCGCCGTCGCAGCCGCCATCTCGGCGGGGGGGGGGGGGGGGGGGGGCGGTTTGCGCCTTCTACGGTTACGGGTTTGCACGGGACGAACCGACTTCGGTTCAACTGAGAATTTTTTTCATTTTAAAATTTTTACTTTTTTTAATATTTACAGAAATATTGTACCGATGAAAATATATTGACCCTACCGCTTTCGAGGAGGGCAGCAAGGTGACGTGAGGAACGGACAAGATGAAAAAAAATTTAGAAAAAATACATTTTTGGTAGGGCAAAATTTGCATTTGCCTCCTTCAGCCCTTGCAAAGAGTGGCAAGGGACCTCATTGCAAAATGTGCACACCGTACCGCCCTCCACTTGGGCGGCAGGAGCCATTTCTCTAAATAATTTGGATGATATAATATTTCTGTAAATATTAAAAAATAAAAATTTAAAAATGAAAAAAAAAACTTCAACTGACGCGGATCGTGTTGGGCCCAGTGGTCAGAGTCAGAGTTTGCATCCACGTTTGGAATTTGGGCCTTCTTGCAAGCTTGGGCCTGAAATCGCTGTAAAAATTCCAGCCCTAAATTTTCGAGTTGGGCTGAAAACGACTGCTTGAATTGGATGGACCTTTTTTTCTAATAAAATACTCATCTATATCCACAAATATAAGGGATTTTGGGTTTGCTCACTTTTATGCCAAAACTAAAGTTTAGTTCACGCCAAAATTCTAAGTTTAGTTGAAATTGGAACGATGTGATAGAAAAGTTGGAAGTTTGTGTGTGTAGGAAAGTTTTGATGTGATGAAAAAGTTTGGAAGTTTGAAGAAAAAAATTTGGAACTAAACTTGGCCTAACCCTTTCAAATTTTGGTAACATCAAACTTTTGATAATTTTGATAATACCAAACTTTAGTAGGGTAGAAGTGTCTGGGTGTTGTTTGGTTTGTTACCATGCCAACCATTCTTGTATAGTGCCATGTGGAGAAGTTTTAAGAAAATCATCAAATTTTGGTAGGTAAGGTGTGGTACAGTATTTAGGATGTGTTTAGATTGCTACTTTGCGAAAAATTGACAATGCCAAAGTTCGGTATGGTTGAACACAGTAAGAAACTGAAAAGCCCCAGTTCGTTTCATTTATCGAAAAAATATAAGGGATTCTAAGATGTCAAGAAAAAAGTACAACAAACTTCACCTTTGTTTTTCATTCAATACCTCAACCTAACACTTATTTTATTTACTTCATTTCTGGTAAATATGCCAAAAGTACAACATACAACTTGTAGTTAACCTGCGCGAACACACGAAAATTACTGACTTGTAGCAATAATTCTGGAACAATTCTTTGCCAAAAAAAAAATCTGGAACATCTGAAACAAAAAAAAAACAATTAAGAGAAACACCCTTCACTTATATTTCTATTTGCATTTTTGTTACATTGCATCAACTTTCTTTATTTAATGAAACAAACCTTTCCTCAAAACACTACAAATTGAATCTGTTTTTTTACAGGCACAAAATGCACTTGTGAAGCTTATGGCATGATTTATATGTACAAGATATAACAAAGACGAAGACCATTGCCGGTTCTGTTGTCCAAATAATCTCCAAAACTAAAATATTGAAGAAAGCTTCAGAGAGGCTCACACGCTTTTCAAATAAGTCGCAATGATGCATCTGTATGAAACAAAGAAAGAACAATGTCAGAGAAAAACAGTCTAGAGTGTCCTATATTTTTAACTTTGTTAAAATATTCAAAAGCAGAGAGATCTCATGTGCAAATTAAAAAAGCAGAGAGATCTCATGTGCAAATTAAAAGGAGAAGTTGTATACCTGTACATGGTAAGTACCATCTGTTTTCTATTATGCATTATCCACAATCCAAAAGGCAACCTTCAAATTTCACAGCTGTCCTTGGTACTTTTTACAGCATCAGAATCATCAGCCTTTCCCTCGTCCAATTTCCTCAAATCCATGGCTTCTTCATGTTCGCTGCACTGCACCCCACAGTCACCATCTGCATGCGAATCACCCAAATGCGCCTTGTAATTTGGGTTCTGTTCTTTGTTCTCCTTGCCAGCATCATCAGCCACCTTGCTCCTATGCGCCCACAGATGGCTTCTCACAGGACGTTCTCCTCTGCCACCAGCAGCAACGCTCTTTGCTGATCTCGGGCTGTCAAACCGTTTAGCAGCAGCATGCCTGTTCTTCTCTGCAGCTTCGGTTTCAGAGCCAGGTTGCTTATTCAGAACTTTCCCTGACACCGATGCCCTTGGCTGAGACGCCGGCCTTCTCTTGTCGGCGCCGTCAGCTGAGATGATTGGTCGTCTTGGCTGAGACGATGACCTCTTTGGAGTGGCTTGCTTGCTAGTAGCGTTGTCCTTATTGCTAGCAGACGTGTTGGATGATTCATTTCTCATGTCATCTTCCAACGCCTTGAGCTTCCTCCTGAGCTTGTCCTGGAAAAGGAGCCAAAGTTTCAGACAACGACATGGAGAAATTAATTGGGTGAAAAATTGATTGAAGTATCTTTGCCACGTTTCTCACATTCAGCTGGGCTTCTGCCTTGGCAGACTTCTCGGCCATGGCAATCTTGTCGCGCAGCCGTTGAATCTCTCCCTAGACGGTCATTGTGAAAATGACAAATAATCAGATGATAAATTGAGAAAAATCTAGTACAAAGGCCAGTAAAATTTGGAGGCGCCACCGTGTGGTGTACTTACCTGCAGGAGCCTCCGTTCCTCGAGCCATCTCTTGACAGGCATCAGCTTGTCAGCATCGTCCTTCCACTCGTTCGCGGTCGTCGACGCGACACGGTTGACGTAGACCTTGGCGCGAGCTAGCTCCCTCTCGAGCGTCCTCTTCTCTTCCTGCAGGTTGAAAAAGCTCGTCAGAAACTAACGTAATCAATCCGTCTTCTGAATACGCTACCCCCTCCGTCCCCAAAAAAAACTCCTATGGGACCTCTCCTAGGACAACGAATCTGAACTACCCTTTGTTTAGATTCGTTATTTTAGGAGGAGTTGAGTTTTTTTTGGGACGGAGGGAGTACATCGCTACTCATGTCACTCACGTTCAGCTTGGCGGCCTGATTCTGGTAGAAGCGGACAGCGTTGGCAACGTCTCCGGTGGAGAGAATGGACTCCTCGAGCTCGGCGATGGTGTGCGTGAGCCTCTCGATGTCCAGCACCTGCTGCCTGTTGCTCTTCTCCAGCAGCTTGTTCTCCTCCTGCAGTCACAAAGACCAAAAAATCAAAAATCAGTTCAGGCTGACGAAAATTAATCTAGCTGATGTGTCAGTGATGGATTTGCATGTGTGCTAGCTCACATGGTAGATCTCCATCTGTTTCTTGAGCTCGATGTTCTGGTTCTGGACGTCCTCGACGATCAGCGCCCTCTCGAGCGCGCTACGCAGGATGTTCCCTGCCTCCACCAGCGCCGCCTCCTTCAGCTTCAGGTGCCGCTCCAACGCCTTCTTGTCATCCTGGAGCAATGCAATCTGACAGCCGAGACGAGCAGCCACAATGTCATCATACAGAACTGAAGTTAAACTGAATTGTCCTGGTAACTGATCGTCAGGCAGCTGCTTTAGTGCAGTTTCAGGTGTTACCTCGTGCCTGTATGCTTTGATGTCAGACTCCAGGGGCGCGATGATGGCGTCGAACGGGACGACCTCCTCGTCCTTCTGCGACGAGTGGATCCGCCTGAGCGTCGCCTCGGCGGCGAATTGCGCAGACAGCGCTTCTTTCCTCTCGTTGCTTAGCCTCTTCACGTCCAGGTTCTGTTGCACCGAGAGAAAAGCTCGTTAGTATCGTAGAACCGTAGAATTGGTCACCTCCCTCCGTATAATATTATGAATTGTTCCTAATCAAACCTATTTAAATTTGATCGAGTTTACAGAAAAACTTAGCAATATCTACAACAGTAAATTAGTTTTTATTAAAACTAACATCTAATATATTTTAATAATAAGCTTGTTTTGTGCCGGAAATGTTGCTATATTTTTCTATAAATTTGATTAAAACTTAAAAAGTTTAACTACGGAGGGAGTAGCAATTAACATATTTAATTTAATAATCAGTTGACTAACTAACCTTCTGCTCGAGCTGCTTCTCCAGGCTACTCAGCTTCTCATCCTGTTTCTTCAGCTCCTTGGTCAGCTGCAGAGACATACACAGTACACCGAAGTGGTGTCAGTACAGTGAGTAAGCTAGTGACCGGGGCATGGCTTGCCCAATGTTGCATCGGTGTTGATTGTTGGAGTGGAAAAGTGGGGGTTTAGCTTGGAAACAACTCAAGCAAAATGGTAGTTAATTACATTAGTTAGCTCGTGAAGCAAATTACCTCAGCAATGGCCTTGTCCTTCAGGGCTTCCGTCACCTTTAGGCCTTTAATTTCGCTATATGCATGTCCTAGCTCTCTGTCCTTCTCTGCAGGTTTAAGCACGAGCTAGGCGTGAGCATGAAGCTAGATTCTAACATTAATTTAGTTCAACTGCTAGTTAAAGACTTAAAAGTTTGAATTTCTGAGACCATGTCGATGTACAAAACGTATTATTTGAGTAACTTTTCAAATTTCATAGTTATAAATGATGGACTAGAAGATTATACTGATAGCTTATTTCTCTTGGGTCTTTGACCCAAAACGAACAAAAAAGGATAAATTATTAATCCTTTTTATGTTTGTAAACAAAAAGATATTTTACTGCTCCTTGTTTGGACTTCAGAGTGAAATTGAAGTAACTAGAGTCATCAATGAACTGATTGAATGAGACAGATGACAATAACAGCTTTGAACAAGGACCTTTTGTGCTAAAAAGTGTAGAGTTCAATCTAAACATAGTATTAATGACTGATGCAGTGTGAGAAAATCTTTAGGTAATTCTGCTACCGGGAAAAGGGTATATCAGTAAAACGTTTAGGTCACAACTAAATTGAATGGCAGTTTGGCGCCATTTAGATCATGAAGAAATATTTTTAGTTCCTAGAATGATGCATGATGAATATCATGATTCAACAGTAGTACTCCTATATGTCTGACAAAATTGACTAGCTAGCCTGAAATATTTTCTGCAAACTAGAGTTCTAGAAACAAGTGCATTCTGCCATCCAACCAGGGCTTAAAATTTTGGTTCTTTTTTTTTTGAGAATTTCGGGCCCCTATAAGAACCTTTTTTTTCAAAAATTTTACCGTTTTGTGAATTTAATAAAATTTATTGAAATTCAGTCAAAAATTTTCACAAAATTCAAATTATTTTTGTTCTGAAATATTACAAAATTTCGAAAATTTTGGTCCTCCTGGTAGATTGTGCTCACCGAAATTATAAAGCCTGCATCCAACACCACGTTAATTCTTCTTGCCCTTTATTGACGTCCTACCAACCGTCCAACCAGCCATACTAAAATTTTCAGGGTTTTGTCACACCTATATCGTAGAATCTGAGCAAATATCTCTTGTAACCTACAAGATTGGGTTACTTAGACCACTTTTTGGTGTCTATTTTTTGTCATAGTTGGAAAAGCTTGCATCATGGATAAGAAAAGGCGGACAAAAGAGAGATTTTTTCTTTCTTTCTGAAAAAAAATATGGAACTGTAGCATGCCCTGATTCCATCTCAACAAATTGGTGCTTGTCAAGTTAATGTATCTGTTCTTCTAAAGAATACTTAAAAAAATGACTTAGGTACGAATAGTTTATCTAAAACTACATAGTACATATTCACGCTCAATTTTTCTATTTCCTACTTCACCAAGACGATCACAGCGATCGTACTACGTTATTGTAATGAACTGATGTACTCAAATTTTCAGCCTACTTGTGAACTACAAGTGTCTGACTATGTCTCAGTAACTGATACAGGGAAGGGGATATGTGTCCATTTCGCTTACAGTATCACTACTGGTACAGTAGTACTTGATATGACCAAAGCGTGAATTGAATGACTTATGTTGCAAGGTCATAATTAACTAGGGCTTCAGTTTGATCAATCAGTATGTCATATGATTAACCATTTCAAGCTGGCGAGATGCATTGAGATGCATTGCACCACGAGGCTTAAACACAACGATCAAAAACTGACGGTGGTTTATTAATTAGCTATATAGCCAAACGAGCAAATTAATTACCTCTGAGGAGATTCTCCAGCCTGTTGAGCTCGTCGACGACGGGATCAGGATGGCCATCGAACGGAAGCATATCCTTGCTGACGCCATGCTCGACGACCTCTCCCAAGCTGCCCATCGTCGCTCGATCGACCTCCTCCTGTATGTCCTCCTGCCCTGCCTTTTGTACACCTTTCTTGCAGTTTTGCTAGCTGCTAGCACCTAGCACACAAGATAAACCCAATCAGCTACACTCTATCTGTCTATCTATCTATCTATCTATCTATCTATCTACCTAGCTAGTTTTGTTTAGCTAGCTATATATGAAAGCCCAGTTGATGTTCTTCTTCCCACCTAAGTGGAAGAAAGAATGCTCGCAAAGATCACGGCTGCCCCCGGGAGCTGAATACTTGCAGTGGTTGCAGTGCTGCACGACTAAGCGAGAGTGGGTTTGGTTGGATTTTATGGAGGCGCAATGCGTGGGGTTTCTTGAGGAGCACCCCATTGCTGGGGCTCGCGAGCGCGCGAGAAAGGAAGCCGACGGTGCAAGCAGCGGATGGATGGATGGATTGGATGGAGGCGGGAGGAGTGCGGTTGAAGCAGAGACAAATGGAGCCGCGGCCTCACGCCGGCTTTGCTGCTGCTGCTGCTGTTGCATAGTCCAGAGCTGGCACGAGAGCGACGCCAAAAGTTAACTTCTGCGATATGCCGATGTATTTTCCCTTGGAGAAAATCCAGTACTCCTGCAAAATAAATATGATTGTGGTTAAATATATGTGAAATCTGAGTAGCTAATACTCCCTCCGTAGTTTTAGATTATAAGACGTTTTAACTTTGGTCAAAATCAAACTGCTTTAAATTTAATTAAATTTAAAGAAAAAAATTAGTAACATTTTTTACCCAAGATAAATTTATTATAAAAATATATTCAATTATTGATTTGATGAAACTAATTTAGAATTATAAATATTATACTATAATTGTTTATAAACTTAGTCAAACTTGAAACAGTTTGACTTTGACCAAACAGTTTGACCAAAGTCAAAACGTCTTATAACCTAAAACGGAGGGAATAGCTAGTTAATTAACTACTGCTGTATATAACTTAATTAATGGTGTGGCACTGTAATTCTCTTGCTAATGATCGGGGTCAATATAATATGGTCCTAACTCTCGTCGGTGTGATACAGGGGTAACAAAAATCTTAGTAGTAACTTACTACACTAGTGGTGATATTTGTGTCCTTTTTGTATCTGTCCTTCTCAGAAGTTCATCGTTTTGTTGAAAAAAAAAATATGCTAGCATCATGCATCTAGTTAATGAATTAATTAATTGGTTGTTTGGTAAGACCTGGCAGTACAGGAGGATATGGTTAATTGAATGATAATCTCCTATTATGAACACGCCGGTTTTGACGAAAAGAAAGAAACCGTGTTAAATGCAATTAGCTGTAGCTGGCTAAGCTAAGATGAAGTGATATGAACAAGGCCTTCTCACATACACTGCACTGTGCTGAAACTGAAAGCATATCCATTATCCGTGTTTCGTAACCGTCACCGGTCGAGGGACAAACTATAATGGTGCGTGCACACTGGAAGGGTGCAACGGGCCAACGGCCCATGCTGATGTTGACCATGGAAGGAGCCTTCCCTTCGCCGTCTGCATCGCCACAAAATTACTCATTGGATGAAGTGGTGGCAAACTAGCTTAGCTTGATTAGCTCCTATGTGTGTTCCAAATGGCAGCTAGCTAGAGATGGAGGAAGCATTGCAAGCATTAGTCTTTAAGGGTAAGAAGATAATAAGAGGCTTTGCTTGATTGCTTCTGCTGTCATAACACATTTTGAAGCTTTCAAGCTACTAAAAACGAATCAACCTACCCTCTATATGACAGTCTTCTTCAGATAACCAAGTAACTGGGTACTGATTGGTGTGTAGTTTTTTTTTTCCTACTTAAAATATTGAATATCAGCAATCAAAATGCTTCAAATATTATAAATCAAGTCCAGGGTGTTCAACTAGTTTAGGTGGTCAAACTAAAACGTGTGAATATGTGTGAGGTTATTGTGGCCTGCCTTCTCTAGGTAGAAGCTTGTGTTAGTTAGAAGATGACAGGAGGAAGAGGATAAGAAGTTAGAAAACAAGCTTCCTGAATGGCCTGATCGACAATTCGACAAATATGATGTTATGATGTTGGAAGCATCGAACAGTTTTGTGCTGGACGGACTGAGACTACACAGTTCGTTTCTTCTCTTTTTTTTGCCTTTTCTAAAGGAGATGCTTCTGGCAACTTGAATGAAGTATTCTTCTTGTGGAAGTTTTAACTTCTCATTAACATCTATTTTTGCCAAAGAAAAACATAAAGAGAAGTGAAAAGAGGAAGAGCTTAATTATTCGATTATTACATGTCTATATTTTTCAGCTTGAAAGCAGCACTTGACAACTCCTTGAGTACTTAATTTGTTCACTAATACAGCACATTTCCAGGAAGTACCTAAACAAATTAAAAAATACTTATAATTATAGCTCTTTAGGTTACTTAAGTACAACCGGCTACTTCAACTCCCTCATGGAGCTGGACTAACGATAAATACTTACCCTATTTTACCACAAATTGAGCTAACTGGCTTTCATATATACTACTACTAGCCTATTGATGACGCCGCTGCCAGTTGTTAATGGTCAAATCAAGATTAACCACTAATCATGCTTGCCTAGTCAAATAATTTTGATCGTGAAAACGTGATTATTTTTTTCTAATTGCGACGCAGACCTAACCGCATGACGTGTTACTATTCCTGACTGGTTCAGTGCATTCCGCTTTCAATCCTCTGAGGCAGCCTCTGGATAATAGTTTTATTGGTGATTTTTATGATTAGAGGTGATAGTGCAGCACAAGAGGGTTAATTTGTAGGTGAAGCTCCAGTAAAGCTCATGCTGAGCCCAATGAAAACCAATTTTGTCACGCATTCAGGCTCACACATAGGCTCAGCTTTAAGAAATGTGACATGGACCTAACCCCATGATGTAGCAGTGTGTTAAATGCTCTTAGTGCCTTTTTCCTTTTCATTCCATTGCACCATAGGCTTTATCTACTGGGACTAGTATTGAGTGTTCCATTATTGTGAGGTTATGTGCTTGACAGTGGCGTTAATTTGTAGGTCAAGCTAGGGCAGTGCTGCTCTGAAATCTTCTAAGTATTCTAAACATATTGTATTTGTCAGGAAGTGCTCTGTATGCATATGCACTAAGATAAAGCATAGCCATGGTATTGCAGTGGTTTGGTGGATGCTTAAGTGGTCAGGCCAGGGTATTGCTTAATACTCATGGTAAGTAGATAACTCTATTCTGCAAATCTGTAATCATGTCATGCTTACAGAAACAAAGCAAAACTTTGTACAAATAATTTTCTAGAAAGCTTTGTGTAAAATAGCTGTCCAAACATCGACTGAAAAGAAGAAACGGTATTGCTATGACTGAGGTAACGATAAAAAACAAACTTACAGGTAGCATGTCTACTCTGATCCTAGGTAAAATTCTGTGCACCTCAGCAACAAACTGTTTAAAAATAATAATAATAACTCTCAATTTTTAGACCAAGTGATAGATTGATAGATAGGACATAGGAGTAGAACATGTACTGACCTCTGTTCATCAGATTTCACTGAACATGGCGCGGCCATCATCAGATGAGACAGGGTCAATTTCACATCACCCTCTGCCCAGATTTATGCAGGGTTTGTTTCTGTAGAGTTTGCTTTCGCTTCCTTGGCGAAACCTGATCGCCAATCCAACCTTCACATACGCATCGATAAAAATTTTCGTTTATTTCAACTTTTCAACAGACGCAAAATCTTAGAAATTTTGAACGGGAGAAATCAAGCAAAAGAACAGGGGGCAAAAAACAAAAAAAATTAAAAATCGCCGGAAACGAAGGAGAACTGGAGAAGCAAGAACAAACGAACCGACGCACGGAGATCGGCCCCTCCAATGGCTGCTTTATTCCGGCGGCGGAGGCGAGTCGACGGCGAGCGGCGGCGGCCGAAGGGCCGCGGAGGAGGAGACGATTGCGTCTCGATGACGGTTTGACCCCACTACGAGGTGGTCCCACATGTCAGTGAGACCCATGGCCCCGGCGAGTTATCCGCTAGTCCCTTTCCTTGCCTGGTCCTCCTGAGACGTCCCATCCAAAATGTGCGGCTGAGATTGCGTAGAAGTAGGACAGTGGAGTCGAGGCAGTTTTTTCGCGGAGGTCCTTCGCTTATTCGGTATTGGCGGTTGACTTCATGGGCCTCAAAGCTAATCGCGTTGAGAGATTCTTGGGCCTCATGCCAGCCAAGTTAGTGGACCTCCGTATGAGCGCGTGCCGTTTGGGCTTGACTGATGCCATTCGCTACAGGTGCTTTAAGATTGGAGTAAATTCACTTTTAATCCCTCAACTTGATGTGGAGTGTTGAATCATGTTCTTAACCGCAATATAATATATATATAACACGTTCCCCCAACTTGCAATACTGGATTACCCGAGGTTATGGGTGGAAAAAAAGCTCGGGCTCGTGAGCTCAGCTCGGGCTTGGCTCGAGCTTGGTTAGCTTGGCTCGGCTCGTAAGCCAAACAAGCCAAGCCCAAGCCTCCTTTTTAGCTCGTTGCTGAAATGAGCCGAGCCGAGCTAGCTCGCGAGCCGCTTGTTTTGGCTCGCGAGCCTAGGCCATCGTGTGTTTATATTGATTATTTTACTTTATATAGTGTTATTATTTGTCAACTTGAAATTTATCATTAAGATTTTGAAGAATTGAATATAAAAACTTATTTAAATTTTACATGTTGATGATTTGTTTTTACTTTTTTTAATAATTATAAAATATATATGAAGAGGTGTTTCAACAGGAAGGCTTGCATAGCTCGAGCTGGCTCGAGCCAAGCCGAGCTTAAGTTTTAGCTTGTTTCCCTAACCAAGCCGAGCCAAGCCAAGCCTAGTTTTTTGCGAGCCACTGCAAGCCGAGCCGAGCCAGGCGGCTCGTTTCCACCCCTACCCGAGGTTCCAGCATAGTTTGTGTCCAGTTTCAACCGACGTGACTAATTAACTACGATCAACTCAACGAGTTAGCATGGGACCTACAAGAGCCCTACATGTCAATCACCCAGTCTTACTCCTCTCTCTCTCCCTCTCCCTTTCTTCCCCATCTCTTCAGGCTGCCATAGCATGAAGAGAGGAGGAAGAAGACTAGGGCTCTTATATGTGGGGCTAAGTGGTCCCACATAGACTTGGCCCTAGTTAACCATAGTAAACATACCACGTCAATTGAAATCGGACAAAATATTGTTTTGAGATTTCAAATACTCCGGTATTATAAGTTTAAACACGTTATAGTTCAATGACGTGATTTAAACTCGACGTCGAGATAAGGGACAAAAACTGAACATATTCCTTCGAGATTCCAACCGCGGCGCCCCAGAGCCCAGAGCGTTCAATGGATCTCGAGGCGTAGTACGAAACCTAGGCGTCTCCACGGCGTCGCCGCCACTGGCGCCTACGCTGCTGGTCCCGGGCCGACGCCATACTCAAACCGGCGTGCTGCCCTGCGTGAATAATGTCCAGCAACTGGGGAGCATCATTTCATCGTCCGAATTCATTCAAATCTAGCGATGAACCCATCCCAATATCCATTCAATTCGGATGGGTTGGGATGGAGTGGTTCAATACGAACTGATGACCTGAGGTAGCATATCCAGATTGCATTATTGTTATACTATATATAAATTCGTGTGATGCTCTCAAAATTTTTTTCCTCGTCCGTGGTGATTTGTGTTTGCATTTCGTTGCATTGGGGTGTTTGGTTAGTCAATCTGTGTGCATGAAGTGAATCTATTTCTTCAGTTTTGCAAGTGTTTGACAATTATATCTTCCATAATTACGAAATTTTGGCATTTACAAAATCAAGTGGGTAGTAGATCATTGAGTTGTAGTTTGCACACGAACGTGTGAGTTACTAATCTGCAGTGTGCTATATGTCAACATAGTATACTGTGCAAAATCTGCACAAATTACATGAAAATTGAAATCATTTTCCTTTCCTCAACAGACTGAATTTACCGAGCAATTTCCAAAAGTTGATTTAGACATGTTGGCGCAGAGAAATTATTGTACAGCAGGTACAACTAATTCTTGGTTTTCTACGGTTCTAACTTTTTTCCTTAGAGAAGAGTATTTTTTACTGTTGGATATATGGCATATTTTTAAATTAGTAACTTAGCCTATTAATTATGGAACTTACCTCTCAAATAATATAATCTGAAAATTGCTCCTATAGAGATTTGAACTCAGGTTTTTGGAGTGCTACGACTTAGGTCACTGCAACAACTATGCTACATCTATGGTTCTACCTGTATATTCATTCTCACATATATTGTACCAGTTACACAAATTTGTGCAGGCAGCCAAGATGAGAAGGAGCTCAAATGCACAATTAGCTGATGCTGAAGACATGAAAGGTGCCAGCCAGCTCAAGGATACAAATTTTTTGAACGACGAAAAAGGATACAAATTGTCTGGTAATTTTCTGGACATTCCTGAGTTCTTATTAAAACTTTCACTTGAATCAGAAGGGAGTATATTCTTCGTTCCTTTTGTTTCACGTTCAATAACTTGGAAATACTCCATGTTTATGGAGTTAATGGTCGGACACTAATGAATAATGGAAATGTGGATTCTGGAGACAGGCAAACTGTTTTTCATATTTCTTTGAAAAATAAGCATATGTTGGTCTCTGTCATGGCAGAATAAGGCCACATTTCTTATTTTATGTTTTGTCAGTTATTTCTGTCGAACCTATTGAAAGCATTTTAAAATTTGGTCAATTCTATGACTACTTTCCTTTTCAATACCTTATCCAGTGGGAGGTCCAGACAAAGAACAAAAGTAACAATCTGGTGGTTCAAAATTAAAGATCATAGAGGTGGATGCCTCGGTTAAAATTAAGTTGGATATTAAGGTGGGGCTTCAGAAAAGCGTCCAGATGCTTATTCACTTTATATTGAGGAGGGTCAACGTGGAGAGGAGGCATCGAGAACAGTAGCCTTTGCACACAAAAAAAAAACAAAACAAAAAAAAACACCCCTTTTATGAAGAGATGCAGGTTGATCTTTTTATCTTTTATTTGCATCATTTGCTGATGGTCTGGTTGTCTTGATTGACTCTGATTTAATATTCTTCTCCCAATTAGCTGAACTGGAAAGTTCTCACAGAAATCTGATACGTAGCATATGGTTTTGGACACATCAAGGAGGACCATACAAAGGTACGCAATCTGATACGTAGTATCTTCTGCACAATACACTGTTTGAATTGGTTGGGGGAATATCCTGATGCCTCTCGTAGTGCAAAGAACAAAACGTTATGGTGAGCCAAAAAAGATATATATTCTACGATTCTACGTACTGGAGTATGGAAGTTTGAGATCGACAACAACATGATTGAGAACAAAACTGAAAGGTTACCCAGATCACTGTTGATTTGTTTTTGTTTCTTAAAAAAAAAGAGAGATTTGGAGGGAGATCTATCCCTCCAAGGCTCCAAACATTTTAAAGAAGAAATTGCGAACGTGTTGAGAATTGAACACGAGAGCTCAGGGTTGAAACCACATGCCAACTTACCACTGCATTATCAATTGCATCTCTAGTTTGGTTTTACTTTAATTAATAATATTATTATTTTGAAATTTTTATTCCACCATTTGAAATTTAATTAATTTCCAATTGATCCACGGAGCAATTGTTGTGCCCCATCTAGCCCATTTCCAGCTGCACCCAAATACTCCTCGAGGCCCAAATGTACCTGAAATAAAAGAGACCGATGGTGCTATTTTCTACTAGGTTGCATCCTTAGGTCTGTTTTGCAAAGTACTCCACTATGGTGTGTTTAGTTCACACTAAAATTGAAAGTTAGGTTGAAATTGGAACGATGTGATGGAAAAATTAAAAGTTTGTGTGTAGTAAAGTTTTGATGTGATGGAAAAGTTGGAAGTTTGAAGAAAAAGTTTGGAACTAAACAAGTCCTATGTTAATTTTAGGATCCGTATATCGATAGATTTAACTCGTATTTTTTTTCAATTCTAGATATAATTTTGTTTTGCGCATTTCCTGATGCATTTTGTACTGTAGCTGAACTTGGTGCACTGGATAGTACAATTATAGTGATACTGGTTGAAAATTGAAATATATAGAACCACAGTAGTACTGTGCAGCTAGCGATGCCTGCCTAGTGGTTTGTGGAAGGGAGCAACAAAGTTCCACGCTACTTTCTTGTCTGTTTGTCATCGCATATCATATCTCACTAGGCATTCATTGCTCCATATTTCAATGGCCCTAAAAAACACATGCGTATACCCATCCTTTTTCTAATTATATGAGATACTATGAATTATAAAATTGTGGTGTAATAACATTTTTCAAGATAATAGAAAAAAACTCTTTCCAAATCCCCAAAGTTCTCCACTTTATCATGATACTCCATTCGTTTTAGGTTATAAGACGTTTTGAATTTGGTCAAAGTCAAATTGCTTTAAATTTAACAAAAATTATAGAAAAATAGTAACATTTTCAACACAAGACAAATTTATTATGAAAATATATTCAATTATTGATTTGATGACACAAATTTATTATATAAATATTACTATATTTGTCTATAAACTTAGTCAAACTTGAAACAGTTTGACTTTAACCAAAGTCAAAACATCTTACAACCTGAAACGGAGGGAGTACTATATATAGTATGTTCCCGTGCTTCCCCTTGCGTTTTATCAAATATGTATACACACATGTTCATACGCGCATATATACCCCCATCAATAAATATTAGTATTTTGTTTTTGTAATTTTTACCATCTCTAGTGCAGAACTTACTATTGTTAATTACTCTCTCTGGGTTGATAACACTTTGACCATTATTTTTCATTATGATATGTATAAAACTGTTAAAAAAATATATGATTTTATTAAAGTATTTTTTAAGACTACTCTATGCATACAATTACCATATTTGAAAGATGAATATTTTAAAAATGATCCATAATTAAAGATTCTAAAGTTTGACTCCACCCTTGTCTAAAACGACAAATATTA